AAGAAATTTTTCATTTTGATCGGGGATCTTAACATGGTGGAGGACCCTCTGCTTGATAGGTCGTCTGGAGCGGGCTCGTCGGGAGAAAACGGCAGTGTGTGCGGATTTGCTCAACGCACTGCCTCACTGATGCTTTTTGCTGGATGAACCCGGTGCTGAAGGAGTTCACCTTTCTATCCAGGCCTGCCAAGACTAGCTCACGCATTGACCGAGCTCTCATCTCAGCGCCGCTGATGCCGATGCTCTCGGATGCGTCGCACTGTCGACCGCTAAAAGGCCTCTCAGACCACTGGTTTGGAGTTAAGGTGACCTTTAAGGTCAGCCTGCAGTTATGTATGGGGCCGGGAATATGGAGGTGTAAGGCAGCAGAGGTTGGAAAGCCGGGTGCAACGAAAGCGGTAGCTGCTGTCCGAGAGGAGCACGGAAAAGCGGGGTCAGGCGATTTCACTGCGCTCATGAAGAAAGTGAATATGGCGCTGCGGAAATACTCTACGGAAGAACGGAAGCGTGTTAAAGCTACTCTGCGTCACTTGGACACTGCGGTGGCAGTTTTGCAGCAGGAAGTGATGTGTAACCCCTACTGCTCCGCCTGGAAGGAGGAGCTGAGGGTCAAGGAGTCCCAACTGGCGGCATATCTTGCCTCGGAGCAAGAGAGGCTGTCACTCATGGCTGGTGTCAAGGAGCTGCGGGAGGGGGAGATGCCTGGCAAGCTCATGTCTGCAAATGTCAAGACATGGAAGGAGAAGATAATGATTACATTGCTGCAATGGAAGGGAACGGTGCAAAAGGACTCAAGGGGGATACTGGAAGCTGCATCTGAGTTTTACGCGGAGCTGTTCCCGGAACCTACCCCTGCTGCAGACAGTTCGCATTGGCCGGTTGCTCCTGACAAAAGGCTGGGAGAGGCGCAAACCCAAATGCTGTTAGCAGAATGGTCTGAAGCGGAGGTGAAGGAAGCCCTTGACGGCATGGCGAAAGGCAAGTCTCCTGGTGCTGACGCGATTCCGAAGGAGTTTTCCGGCCAACACTGGGACTCGCTGGGGGGTGACGTGCTCGGTTTTGTGAAGCAGTTTGAGGAATCGGCAGTCCTCCCTCCTGCTGCTCTGGAGGCGGTTATTGTCCTGCTGCATAAGAAGGGCGCGAAGGACCAGGTGCAGAACTACCGGCCGATCACACTGCTCAACAGCACGTACAAGTTAGTGGCGCGGGTGCTGGCGAACAGAATGCGGAAAGTGCTGCACAAGGTTATTTCGGAGGAACAATACGGCTTCTTACCAGGAAGAAGGCTGGCAGACAGAGTCTCGCTGATCGCGGATATCGTTGAAGCGGCGAAATACAAAGATGAGGATTGGTACTTACTTCTGGTGGATTTTCATAAGGCTTTCGATTCGGTCTCGCGCGAATACCTTTTCGGCACAATGGAGAGGATGGGCTTTCCGCGGAAGTTTGTGCACTGGTGTGAAGGTCTTCATGCAGGTTCAACGACGAGGCTGTTGCTTAACGGGTGGTTGGGGGAGCCGGTAGCGGTCAGGAAGGGGGTGCGGCAGGGGTGTCCTCTGGCGCCTTATCTCTTCCTCTACACGGTGGAGACTCTCTGCGAGGAAGCAAAAAGGAGGAAACTTGAGATCAGTAATCCGTACGGTGACCGGCTTGCGTACCTGGGGTATGCTGACGACACCACGCTGGTGCACAAGGGGAAAAGGCAGATTGGCCGGGCGGTGAAGCTGTTGAACGAGTTGGAGATAAGTCAGGGCTCTGAGTGAACAACGACAAGTCTGCGCTTTTCCCTCTGGGGAGAAACCTGCGCAAGAAGTTGGACAAGAAGTCAGTTTTCAAACGGGTGCTGTCGAACGAAGCGGAGAGGGTCTTGGGGGTGTGGGTCTCACCCTCGGGGGATCCGTCGGTGACCTGGGAAATCACCCTGGTGAGAGCAACATCGGAGCTGATGAAGTGGCAGATACATTACCTGACTACATCAGGAAGGGTCGCGGTGGTCAATGGGTACATCAACCCGATCCTCGCCTTCCGGGCGCAGGTCTACCCTCCTCCAGCAGAGATCTGGGCGAAGCTAGTGAAGTTGCTTCACAACTTCGTCACCGGAAACCACTCGACGGCGGGGAAGCATTTCGCGCTCTGGAGCCAGGAGCTGTTGTTCAAGGTGAGAGGAGAAGGCGGCCTCGGTGTCCGGGACCCGTGTGCTGAGCTGGGGGGCCTGGCGGCCAGGAGGATCGCGTTGCTGGCGTCGCAGCCGCTGGGTTTACGTGTTGATCTTGCGCAGGCAGCGCTGGATGTCCCTGATCTCCAAGTCTTCTGGGCCCACACGGGGCTGATAAAGCAGTGGGAAGGAAGGTGTATGCGGTGGAAGCGGACCTGCGAGCTGTTTCTGGAGTCTAGCTTCCCTTCGTGCATCAGTGTGTCATCAGTGTGGGATGTGGAAAAGGAGCTGCTGCTCTTCAATCGGCGGTTGCTCTTAAACGGGAAGATGCCTGCATGACGGCAGAAGGCGGCTAAGTGTCTGAAGCGTTCGGTCATGCGAGACTTAATCAAAGTCGCTGGGGACGGCTCGAGGGCTCTTAAGGATACCCAGGAGCTCAAGCGGGAGTTCGGGGGCTCGGCAGGTGCAAAAATGGCAAAACGGATCTTCGACGCCGCCCCGGATGAGTGGAAATAGTTGCTCCTGGCGCCAGTCACGGCGCATACGGTGCTAGCTGCCTCTAAGTTTGTGCTGAAGGTGGGGACGAGCTACGGGGTCTGGAGGATTGAGTGCGTGGAAGGCGAAACCCTAGTCTGCCGAGCTATCAGTTGCGTTCGGGGGATACTGGGGGATGCAGAGGAGAAATTGCGCAACTTCCAGCCGCACGAGGTATTACCCGCAGTGGTCAGGGAGGGTCGTTTTCTCGGCCCTGCAGGCGCCCCCAAGGCGAGGCTGCTGTGTTCGCCCATCTAGGAGGGGGGCCGTCTGGCGCAGCTGAAACAGCTGAAGGAGGGGTTTAAGCGGTGTAGCGGAAAGCCGAAGCAGCAAACCACCTGGGAAGAGTCCCTCGGCCGTCAGATTGACTGGGGGAGAGTGATCGACGTAAGGGACTCAATGGTCCTCCCGAATCGTGCGCGGGATGTGATGCTCCGGATCCACAGCCGGAACCTGCAGGTGGGGGAGCGGCTGCACTTTCTGGGCACCGGTGTCGCATGCCCGCATTGCGGGGAGAGGGAGACGCTGGAACATGGGTTGTTTCTCTGCCCACGTATCCAGCCGGTGGTTCGGGCACTATTGAAGGCGCTCCGCATGCTCAACCCGCATCGGAAGATTGAGTCATTGGGAGACCTGGTTTTCAAGAAGGAGGGGACAGCTTCGGGTTTTCCCGAGGCTACGATTACAGCAATTGCGCTCCACCAAATTTGGGTGGAGAGGTGTGACGCAGTTTTCGAACGGAGCAAGTTCCGGGCGCGGAGGGCACTGCGGAGGATCGCGGCGTCTTTCGAGCTGCATGTCAGAATTTACAAGCATGCTAAGGCGGCATCCAAGAGGCTCGGTGCCACTCGTCCTGGATTGGATGATGACGAGTGCCGGGTCTTGAGCCACATCCTTGACAACACAGCGCAACCGGCCACGTGGTCCAAAGGATTCATGGCCATCTGATCGAACCCGAGGGCAGCTTTCCGTCCCCCTTAGAGGATCAGGATGGGTACGGAGGGTGCTAACCCCCTAGGCCCATCAGCCACAGTTACGACTGCCGATGTATTATGCACTTTTAGTGTATCTTGCATAAAAAAAATGTGGATAAATACTATTTTGTGAAACTAAACGGGTGGAAATTAGCTCGCTCACAGTGTGCGCGAAACACAGAGCGCAGACCTTACGCAGAGGGCGCGTTACTACTCTGATCTTCGTTTCTCGACCCTGAACAATCAGAGTTATATACTTTTCAACCCTGAGCAATCAGGGTAGCATCATTCTGAAAAATGTGCACTCATAATTGAGGGGAAAAAAATTCCCCGGAATCGGGGAGGCCTAATATGAGACGTCAGCCCTGCTCCCCGCCCCAATGGCCTCCATAATCGCTAGCTGTTGCGCTGGCGAAGGGACAGCGCGGTTACAAGTTGTTCCTGCTTTCGCCTACTGTCTCTGATGTGCGTCGAAAATGCTTGCCGCCACCACCACGTACAGCACACATGTCAGGTCTGACCGCGCGATCCTGCTGAACCGCACCGCACCATCCATCAAGAAGGAACTGCTGCACACGGGCAAGATTTGCATCGCATGGCATTTCACAGCTCAGCTCAACCACTCCACCTCTAGCTTCTACTTTTGCTCTCATTCCCGCAGCAACTGCTAGTGGTACTACTAGCTGGTAGCTCTTGGGACTATGGCCTCCTTGATATCTCCAACTACTCTTATCATCACTCCGCCTCATCTTCATCCAATTTCATCCGTTTCCTCATCCTCGTCCCTTTCCCCTTGTGCGTCCAGCCTTCTTGCACCGTTGATCCACGCCGCTGCATACCCCCACGGTGACCGTCGATCACTACCAGGTCTTTCAGTATCAGGCGGTCGCTACCAGACGCATCTACTATACGCCTTCCACCACCCGGCACGTCCGGTCAGCGCTACTGCGTCCTCCTCGTGTCCAAGTCGTCTCGCTCAACCCTCGCACTGCCGTCATGCGTCCTCCAATTTCGCAGCACCGTGCAAGTTTCGCACGGTCCGTCGTCCGAGTCGCTCATTTATCGCCGCACGCCGCACACCCTTCAAGCGCGATCAGCTGGTGGTTCGATGTAGCGCAGAAAGCGGCGGAGCATCAGGAAGCGCTGCTAGCGGCGCAGGAAAAGCGGATTCAGTTGAAAGCGGTAAACCAGAAAGGGATACCACAAGCCCCTCTGGTCGAGGCGCATTGTTCATCCAGCCAATTGCTGCGCGACTACCCGTGCAACCGCATCCGTCGCTGATAAACGACGATCTCGTTCCGACGCTGGCCAGCCAACGAACGTTCGACGCGTGGCACATGGCGTCGCTCTGGGTCGGCCTCGTTGTCGGTGCGTCTCACTCAGTCCACTTCTCACCACCGTCCAGTTATCAAATTTCGCCCTCTTCGATTTCCCCGTTTTCTCATTCATTCACGCAAGCAAGCTTCTATTTGGGCGCCATCATCGGCCAAATGCTTCCAGTCCTCCTTACCTCCCGCCATCCAGTAAATCCACCTTACAACCTTCCACCCTTGCAATCCCTTTCCACCTCCATTCATCCCCTGCTTTTCGTCTCCCTTCTCGCCACTCTCTCTCCCACCGCGCTCCCCGCTCTCCCTTTCCCCTTCCCCTTCATCTCCCTCCATTCCCCACTCTCTCGCTCCGCCAATCAGGCGTCCCCACCTGGTACCTCGCGGCCACCTTAGTGGAGGTAGGCATGGCATGGTGGCAGGGACTCCTAACGGTCCTAGCGGGAAATCTCCTCGTCCTCATCCCCATGCTTCTCAACGGTCATCCCGGCTGCAAGTACGGAGTGCCCTTCCCCGTCCTCGCGCGCGCAGCCTTCGGCGTCAAAGGCGCCAACCTCCCGTCGCTGCTCCGCGGACTCGTCGCCTGCGGCTGGTTCGGCATCCAGACCTGGATCGGAGGCTCGGCGATCCTCCAGCTCGTCACGCACTTGCCGGCGGCGCAGGGGGCCGCTGGGGCCGCGGCACTGGCGGCGGCGCCGAACCTACCAGGGTGGTTCGGCGGGGTGACGTACGCGGAGTTGGGGTGCTTCCTGGTGTTTTGGGTGGGGCAGCTGGGGATTGTATGGCGGGGAATCGATTGTATTCGCCATCTCGAGTCTGCCAGCGCGCCCGTGCTGCTGCTGTAAGCTGAACGCTGTACGGTAGCTGCGGGTGGGATGGTATGGTGAAGCATGTGGCAACGCCAGGGGCTCTGTTGCAAGCCCCTGTGTTGTTGCCGTGATGTCGTGCAGGTAGTGTAGCCTCGCCTAAAGTGGATGCTTCTCTTGTCAGTGATGCTGAGAATCTAGTGTGCTGCGAACTGCCCCTGTCCTCTGGCTGCTCCTGCTCCTGTTCCTGAGCCTTCTTTTTTCTGCTCATGGAAAAGGAGCATGTCCTAGGCCTCTTAGAATGCCATCGCATGCTGAGCAGACACAAGTGCCGAGATTGTCTTCTGTCCTTTCCAAACAGTGTCTCTAAGTTGTGTCACACTGAGGAACAGTCCAACAGAGTCTCATTCCCTTGATGCAAACCTGTCTCCACACCTGCTTCCAACCACCGTCTGTCTAATCCATCATCCAACTGTCCCGTCCACATCTTCTAGGCTTCCCTTTCCGCATTTCCTTCCTCTCCTCCTTCCCCTTCCCCTTCCCTTTCCCCTGCACCATCCCCATCACCAGCCTCTGTGTGTGCCTGCTTGCATGGGCGTACTCCAGGGCGGGCGGGCTGGGGCCCATGCTCAGCGCACCCTCGCTCTTTGCACCGGGCGGACCCAAGCACGGGCAGTTCTGGAAAACGTTTTTCCCTGCCCTGACAGCGAACGTTGGGTTCTGGGCTACGCTAAGCCTTAATATCCCAGGTGGGTGGGCTGTGTGGTTTTGGTTGTGTTCGTGACTGTGGGCATGGGCATGGGCGTGGGCATGGCAGGGGGACGGGCATGGCTTGGGCTTAGGCTTGCAGGTGGTTGAATGGAAGTGGCTGCACACTGCCTGTGGTTCTTTAGGGGGAACACTTGGACAGTTACGTTGATACGTGGTGTATGTAGAACAGATTAAGGGGAACTTCAGAGACTATTTCTCCCTCATATCCCAAGGGTTTCTCCTCTCTGCTTTTCACCCCCATTGGCCGTTTTTCCTGTCAAAGCCACCTTCTCTTCACCCATTCCACTGCTGTCCCACGCTCCTCTAGCAGACTTCACGCGCTATTCACGCTCACAAGCATCGCAAGCAATAGGCCAGGCGCTGGGCCTGCCAGTGACCATGGTGGCGTTTGCCTTTGTAGGCCTCGCTGTGACCTCTGCCACGCTCGTTGTCTTTGGCCCGCCTGCCATCCCCGACCCTGTACTGCTGCTCTCCAAGATCCCCGGGCTGCTCCCTTCACTGCTCGCCTGCACTGGCCTCTGCCTCGCCACACTCACCACCAACATCGCTGCGAATGTCGTTGCACCGGCCAACGCGCTGGTGAATCTGGCGCCGCGGCGGGTCTCCTTTGCTGCAGGAGCCACGGTTACAGCCCTTGCGGGGCTGCTGCTGGCGCCGTGGAGGCTGGTTCGGTCGCCGGCGGATGGTGGAGGCGGGGCGTTTTTCGCGTGGCTTGTTGCATATTCGGCTTTACTCGGTCCCATTGCAGGGGTGCTGGTTGCGGATTATTTTCTGCTGAGGAAGACGGAGCTCGACGTGGATGGGCTTTATTCTTTGGACCCGTCTGGGCCTTATTGGTATGCAGGTGGGTACAATCCGGCTGCAGTGTTTGCGTTGGTGGCAGGTGTGCTGCCAAATCTTCCTGGGTTTCTGGCCGCTGTGGGTGTGGTTGCCTCAGCAGTGGTGCCTGCATGGCTGCACACGGTGTATTCAAACGCATGGGTGATTGGGTTTATGGTAGCTGGAGCGACGTATTTGTTGCTCATGGAGGTGTTTCCCTGGTATATAATTAGAACATGATGGGACTCGTTATTCCTGTACGTTTATTGCCCATGCAAGCTGCTGTTTTGCTCTAATGGGAAGCTAACCTGGATAGAAGGTTCAGATCACACCATAGAATGGTTGGGAGTGCAGTACAGGCACATCTGGGGGTTGTCGCGCGTTGTGCTGTTTGGGCTCGGTTCGTTGGCTCAACGGGTATCCGATTCGAGCCTCGATCCCACGCTGACAACGTGGGTGCAATGTGGCCTGGCGGCTCGGTTCACGCCAACTTCAAGGCACTTCCTGGATAAACGTGACGGAGATGTACACTGTACAATCCAAGCTCTTTGCGCGGCAGCGGCCGGAGACGAACCGAAGACTGACACGTGACACCCTTATGGTCCAATCAAATTCGGACATTTCTGTGCTCCGCGAGGCGTGACGACGTGGCTACCTCGTCTTGACGGCTTCGTTTCATGACAATCCATATAGTGGTTACACACCGACAGTCGCTCAGTCAGTTGAATCGCGATTTTACCAGCGTTCCGCTGGCGAAACAAAACCCTTTGCCCCAACCCAAATCCACTCGGAACCTGGAAAGAGATGGGCTTTGGGAAGTCGTAACGTAGGCCGTACGCGATTGACAACAAACACACGCGTCACTTGCTTGGTCGCGCCGGCATCTTCCCAAGATGACGAAAGTTTCATCTTCAGATTCAGCCCAAAGCAGTGGCTTCTTCCATTGGTTAGCCCTTCAGGGCAGGCCAACTGCTGGTCCTGAATCCGTCAAAGCTACAAAACGGGTGCGGAGAGCAAGGAATACATTTAGCAGGCTCTCCAACTGACTTCGTCCTTCCCCCCTCGCGCGACTGATCGCAAGGGCCTTTGCTCTACAACTTCTCTTACTATCCCATTTCCCATTTTTGTTTCAATCGCTCGGCCGTCGCTTGAAATCATGGAATCCACCATCTGTCGCACAACCCCAACCATTCGCCATGGTTCGGGGTCCTTGCATCCTCAAACCTCCTCGCGGCATCCCAATCCCGTCAATTTCGCCTCAGCTCATCCTCGCGAACGGCTCGTCTGGCCGGAGGCCTCCAGTCGCTTCACACCCGCCAGTTCGCTACCCTTGCGACCCGCGCGCTCCCACCACACCGGCAAGTCTCTCAATCTTCTTAGACCGCTCGCGCCGATCGGACGACCAGTAGCAGCGTCAGACGAGCCGTCTCGGAACACCGGCAGGCGATGCTCGCACCAATCCTTTCCACATTATCACCGCTCCCGCCCAGATTATGGTGACGCAGCAGCGACCCTGGCTGCACGCACTTCTTCACAGCTGAATCATTCCAACCAGTTGCCGACTTTAGTAGGCCGTGTTTCGCGCAATCCTCTCGTCGCTCGCTTCCACAGTTCACGAGGCCGTTGCTCCGCCGCGTCTCACGCGGCCGATGGCGGACGGGACACCGCCGCAGCCGGCGGCGTTTCCCTGGGCTCTCCCGGCCTATTAGAAGCTACGTTCGAAGGCCCCACAGGAGGGTTTCAAGTGATTACAGCCACGTCGGTAGCAGACAACTTCGACGTCGCTGCCACGTCAGTCACCGCCGCCGCCGCCGCCGCCGCCGCTGCTGCTGCCGTTCCACTACGAGCAGCTGACGATGCTGCTGTTTCATGGAGCGCGGGAAGCTTAGAGTTGGATGGACTGATACACGACGAGGGTCTACGTGGATCCGACCTGGTCCCGAGAGGAGAGGAAGAAGCTACGACTGCAAAGCTACAAGGATCAAACCTGGCTACGACGACAGAGGCAGGTTTCGACGAGGCGGGGAAGGTTGAATCCGTGCGGAAGGACGCTCGGTGGAGTGAGGAGGTGTGGGAGCAAGCGCGGAGTGTGGTGAGCTTCGCGGGTCCTGCTATGGGGATATGGCTGTCGCACCCGATTATGTCTTTAATCGACACGGCCGTCGTGGGGCAAGGCTGCTCCACTGAACTAGCTGCGCTGGGTGAGACAGAGGGGAAGAGGAACGGGGGAGAGTGTTGGGGGGACGTAGCGTGGAGGGGGGGGGAGGGGATGGGAGGGGAGGGGGAGGATAGGGAGAGGGTAGGGGGAGGGATTGGGGGAAGAATAAGATGAGGTATGAGGGTGGTGGAGGGACGTTCTATGTCTCTCGCGGTTTGAAGACCGAAGAAGGTGGCAATGCAGTGCAGTGATGGTCAGAGAGAGCAGTGCCACTGTCCTCTTGCTCCTCTCCCTCCCTCACCCCGCATCCCTCAGAACTTCTCTCCTCCAGTTTCTCTCCTCCTCCTCCTCCTCCTCCTCCTCCTCCTCCTCCTCCTCCTCCTCCTCCTCCTCCTCCTACTCCTCCTCCTCCTCCTCCTCCTCCTCCTCCTCCTCCTCCTCCTCCTCCCCCTCCCCCTCCCCCTCCTCTTCCCCCTCCTCCTCCTCCCCCCACTCATCCCCTCCTCCCCCTATACCTCCTGGTGACGTCCCTCATTTTCACCCGTGCACCTCGGGGCCAGGCACAGCAGTGCGACCAGGTGTCACTAATCTAGTACTGAGACCTCTCAAACCCCCCTCTCGCCGCAGCACTTCCTTTCTCCCCTCCCCTCCCCCCTTACCCACAGAGCAGGGCCAGGAGCAGCACTTTGCGACCAGGGTGACATTAATCTGCTCAGTACCTCACCAAATCAGACGTCTCAACTGCAACTGCAACTGCAACTGCAACTGCAACCCCCTCTTTATCCCCCACCCACCCACCCACCCCACCCAACCCCTCCTCCCCTCTTCCTCTCCCCCCCCCCCCCGCGTGGCAGGGCCGGGCACGGTGATGTGCGACCAGGTGTCGTTAGCTTAAGAATAGGGCGTCTCAACCTTTTTACCTCCCACCTCCCTCTACCTCCGATTCCCCCGTGTGGCAGGGCCGGGCACGGTGATGTGCGACCAGGTGTCGTTCCTCTTCATGTTCCTCTCCATCGCCACCTCCAACCTCATTGCCACTGCCATGGCGCAGCAGGTCAGCCGCTCTGCGCCCACTTCATGTTGGGTCACATGGAGTCGGGTCGGGTCGGGTAGGGTCGGGTTGGGTCGGGTTGGGTTGGGTTGGTTCAGCTCGGGTCAGTTCGGGTCAGATCAGGTCGGGTCAGATCAGGTCGGGTCAGATCAGGTTGGGTCAGGTCAGTCAGGTTGGGCTGGGCCAGGCCAGGCCAGGGACTGGCTTGCACATGAGTAGTTGCAGTGCAGGAAACTGGGCAGGTATTGGGCATAGAGGCAGGCTGGGAGCACAGGGGGAGGCTGGAGGCATAGCACACACTGTACCTTCCGTGTTTACCTTCTGGCTCCACACTCAGCCTTCTTACTCTCTCCAACCCTCTCATCCCCTCCGCCCATGCACCTTGCCTAGCCTTGCACGGGCAGATGAGGAAGAGAGCAGAGACATGCAACATGACGTGCAAAATAATCTTCCCGCTCTCACTAATCCCCTCATCCCCTCCGTGCGTCATCCCCAATTCCTCCTGGACACTGAGCTGGCATCGCGGCATCTATCACAGCTGCTGCTTTTGAGAATTCTCAGAAGTGACTACGATATTGAGAACTCTCAAAAGCCCCTCCTCGCGTCTTTCCCAATGCCTCCAGGACACTGAGCTGGCATCGCGGCATCTATCACAGCTGCTGCTTTTGAGAATTCTCAGAAGTGACTACGATATTGAGAACTCTCAAAAGCCCCTCCTCGCGTCTTTCCCAATTCCTCCAGGACACTGAGCTGGCATCGCGGCATCTATCACAGCTGCTGTTCGTGGCGCTCGTGTGTGGGCTGCTCATGACTGCCGTCTCCCTCAAATTCGTACCACAAGCCATTGCCGGTGAGGCTGGTACCGTGACGTGAAGGCGGGGTATTGCAGAGGGACAAGGTGGAAAGTAATGGGTATAAGGGAGTTTGAGAACGGGGCGCGGCTTGTCGAGTTTTTCAGTGAGCATGTGCTGTGTTCGTCCACACTTCCGGGGTTAACTTCGTGGAGCTTCCACTTGTGAGTTCATTCCTCCTTTTGCTGCTCACACTCCTGCTTCTTCATATGCCCACGAATTCACGTGTATCTATGTCAATGATCCTGTGTGTGTGTGTGTGTGTGTGTGTGTGTGTGTGTGTGTGTGTGTGTGTGTGTGTGTGTGTGCGTGTGTGTGTGTGTGTGCGCGTGTGTGTGTGTGTGTGTGTGTGTACATCTGTGTGCCTACTGCCCATCTCCCTCGGCATGTATCCACGGGGCACACCAGGATTTGTGGGCAACAACACTTCCATCATCCCAGCAGCGTGTGTCTACGCCAAGGTACAGGGAGGGGGAACCTTACACACGGCCTTGCACCTGTACCTGTACCTGTACCTGTACACTCTACCACCCACAGGGGATGAATGGAGGGGAAAATAGAGGCTTGAGCGCAGAGGTCACATTCGGCCTTTTGTGTCAATGATATCTGCCTGCTCACTGCATGCCGTCGTTTCACCTGTCCAATCACCCTTGCACTTTCGTTCTCTTCATGCCTCTGGTTTCATCCCACTAGCACTCTTCATCAACCCACCTCACCAGTCTCAACCGCATTCTCTTCCCCTTCCCACCTTCTCCTCGCTTCCTTGTCCTCCCGCTCTGTGTGCGTTCCAGATCCGAGCGTATGCATGGCCGGCTGTTCTTGTCACGTCTGTGGCTCAGAGCGCGAGGTGAGTGCCAGGTCTTGCGAGGTTGGCAGCTGTGTAAGAAAAGGTGTAATCGCTGAGTGAGAACGAGTGGAAGGTTTGTCTGACTTAGTGCCAGGGTGTTGAATTGAATGGATTCATTGGTGAGGGAGTTAGTGCAAGGTTGGGTACAGAGAGCAGTGTCAGTATAATAAACAGGAGAATGCAACATCACCAACAGACATCCATGCCCATTTCCCCTTTCCCTGCTCGTCTCAACCTCAAACTCACCAATACCTCCCCTTCCCCCCAAACTCCCCGCTCCCTCTCCTCTCCCCCACACCCCCCGTCTCCTCCACACGCTCCACCAGACTCGGGCTGCAGGATCTGTGGGGGCCGCTGCGCTGTCTCCCCTCTCCCTCCCCTCGAACCCCCAATCTCCTCCCTCCCTCTCTCCTCCCCCCCCCCCTCTCTTCGTCTCCACACGCCCCACCAGTCTCGGGCTGCAGGACGTGTGGGGGCCGCTGCGCTGTCTAGCAGTAGCGAGTGCGGTGAACCTGGGGGGTGACCTGCTGCTGTGCCCGCTGCTGGGATACGGCATTGCAGGGGCTGCCTGGGCCACCATGGCCTCTCAGGTGGGGCTGTGGGTTTTCCCGCCCTCTCTTCCCCTCTGCACCGCGCTTTCTGAGGATACGGCCCCACAGTCTGCTCCTCCTGAGAGGCCATGGGGCCCCACAGTCTGCTCCTCCTGAGAGGCCATGGGGCCCCACAGTCTGCTCCTCCTGAGAGGCCATGGGGCCCCACAGTCTGCTCCTCCTGAGAGGCCATGGGGCCCCACAGTCTGCTCCTCCTGAGAGGCCATGGGGCCCCACAGTCTGCTCCTCCTGAGAGGCCATGGGGCCCCACAGTCTGCTCCTCCTGAGAGGCCATGGGGCCCCACAGTCTGCTCCTCCTGAGAGGCCATGGGGCCCCACAGTCTGCTCCTCCTGAGAGGCCATGGGGCCCCACAGTCTGCTCCTCCTGAGAGGCCATGGGGCCCCACAGTCTGCTCCTCCTGAGAGGCCATGGGGCCCCACAGTCTGCTCCTCCTGAGAGGCCATGGGGCCCCACAGTCTGCTCCTCCTGAGAGGCCATGGGGCCCCACAGTCTGCTCCTCCTGAGAGGCCATGGGGCCCCACAGTCTGCTCCTCCTGAGAGGCCATGGGGCCCCACAGTCTGCTCCTCCTGAGAGGCCATGGGGCCCCACAGTCTGCTCCTCCTGAGAGGCCATGGGGCCCCACAGTCTGCTCCTCCTGCCACTCAGTGTCCCTCTCTCTCAACCCCCCCGTCGCCCTCGCTCTTCCTTGCTTGCAACCCCCGCTGCATGGACTCAGTTACGTCCAGAACGAGCCTTGGACCCTCACGCTGCGCCTTTTTGACCCCATTCCGTCCCTCCTCTCGTCCCTCAAGCCTCCCACCTAGCCACGCATGCCCCCCCTTCACCTCTCCCTTCCTCCTTATTCCCCCCTTCTCCCTCCCCCCCATCGTGCAGTACGTAGGGGCGCTTCTCATGCTGCACTCGCTGCACCGGGCGGGTCGCATACGCCTTGCCATCTCGCCCCCTCCGCTGCCCGAGCTGCTCACCTACCTCTCCCTCACCGGTCCCATCTTCGTCACCCTTGCTGCCAAGGTCCGCTGCCTTTCCTCCTCTCCTCCTCATGCACACCCACCCTTCTTGTTGTTGATTCCTTCTTCTTTATCCATCGGTCCATCCATCAGTTGATGTGCCCCTTCAGCTTTCCTGTGCGTCCCTCCGTGTATCGCTCTGATAATCTGCATGCAATGCATACTTATTGTGCTCCATCCTCACGCGGTTGCAACAGTCTTAAAACGGTTGTCAAATAGTCTTTCGACGATTTCGACTCTCTTTAGATGCTTTTCAACGCTTTTCAAGGTCTCTCAACGATTTTTAACACACTTCCAATGGCCGTCCAACGGTTCCCAACGGTCAATCAATGAATCCCACCAGTCTTTAAATGGTTGTGAGTGTTCCTCCAGCGGTTTACCCCACTCCATACATCCCAATCATTCATTCCCTCGTTGTCATCCCCCTCCCCTCTTCTCTCCTCTTCTCCCCTCATCCCCTCCACGCCCCTCTTCTCCCCTCATGCACTCCACGCCCCTCGTCGCCCCCATCAGGTCGGCTTCTACACACTGCTCACCTTCCAAGCCACATCTCTTGGGACTGTTCCCCTCGCAGCACATCAGGTACGTGGGAATCACTTGTGAGACTTCTCAAGAGTCAGCTTCTACACACTGCCCACCTTCCTTCCAAGCCATACCTCTTGGGACTGTTCCCCTCGCAGCACATCAGGTCTCGCTCTCCTCTCCCCTTCCTCTCCTCACCTTCCTCTCCCCCTCCTCACGTTCCCTTCCTGCTCCTCCTCTTCCCCCCCTGCCGCTTCCCTCCTCTCCCACCTCTTTCTCTGTTGCCTCGCCTGTGTCCTGTCGTTAATGCTTAGCCGGGTTTTGAATATATAAAAAAACCAGCTGCTACCACCGCCAGTCCTCCCTCCAGCCCTCACCATTCAACCTTTGAATGGTCCCAAAAGTCCTCCCTCCAGTCTTCACCATTCAACCTACATGCACCGCTTGTCTGTCACCTGCCCTCTACCACCCTAGTCATCAATGCCTTTTACTCCCTGTCCCCTGTCTGTTCACTTTCTGTTCCTTCTCCTCCTCTTCCGCTCCTCTCTACCCACGCGGCAGGTGCTGGTTGGAGTGTTTGCCCTCTGTGCAGTGTGTGCTGAGCCGCTCTCTCAGACGGCCCAGTCCTTTCTTCCCAGTCTATGCGTTGGTGTCAACAGAAACATGCACAAGGTAGGTGTGTGAGGGCTCTCTGACGTCTTTTTCTTTGCTTGTAAGATTCCTTAGAGACTCTCCGTGTCCTTTCTATGTCATACTGTCCACCCCCAAAAGTAAAAGTTCATAACCAATCAGTGGAACTCTTTTCTTCTGTCCTACTCTTGCTCAGTGCTCTCCCTTGCGCATTCCCCTTGTGCATCTCACTTGCTTGCTCCTTGGAAAACCACCCCGTCTTTTCGTCCCTTCTCCCGACTCGTTCCGCCACATGTCTCTTTCATCCCTTTCTCCCACACCTTCCATGTCTCCCACACCTTCCATGTCTCCCACACCTTCCATGTCTCCCACACCTTTCATCTCTCCCATGGCAACCAACCTACCAACAACTAACTGCAGGCGAGGAGGCTGCTGATGACGCTGATACTCATAGCAGCCCTGCTGGGTGCCATGGAGGTCACCACTGCCCTCTTCGTCTCGCTTCGCATGCCCTCCCTCTTCACTGCCGACTCTGCTGTCATCTCTCAGGTGGGTCTCAGGTGGATGCTCAGGTGGCAGGGACCTTGGGTCCTTAGGTGGTAATTTGGGTCCGCATTCCCTTCCTCCCCATAATGCTCATGGTGGCTGCCTCCTCTGCTGGTTTCGACTGTAACGAGGACTGCCACGTGGGTGTGCATTGCCACGTGGGTGTGCATTGCCACGTGGGTGTGCATTGCCACATCGACCCAGCGTTTAACACAAGCGGGCCCATGCCACCCTCCCCCTCTTCCGCCTCCGTCCTTCCCCATCGCCCTTTCCTCCTCCAACCTTCCCCATCAGATAGCGTGCATAGCCCCGGCCCTGGCAGTCAGTCTGATGCTCAACCCCATCGTGCTCTCCTCTGAGGGAGCCCTGCTGGTATGCCTGCCCTCGCCGCCTGCTGCTGCCATGCCTGCTGCCATGCCTGCTGCCATTCCTGCCGCCATGCTCCCATGCCTACAGCCATGCATGTTGCCATGCCTGCTGCCGTGCGTGCTGCCGTGCCGTCTTCCGTGGTTGTTGCTGGTGTCTGCTAGTGTTTGCTACTCCGGCACTATTCCACATGTCGGGTATTGACACGTTGCGTGCCGTCTCTGTATGAAAGCTGGCGACTTTGCTAAACCTCGCATCGGGTTCTTGCCTGTACCCCAACTCTCTCTTTCTGTTGCCATTTTGTTCTTACCCATACACTGCCCCTCCCCCATAACCATCATTACAATCATGAACAACAATTATCACCACCACCACCACCACCACCACCATCACCACCACCACCATCACCACCACCACCATCACCATCACCATCACCACCACCACCATCACCACCACCACCACCACCATCAACACCACCACCATCACCATCACTACCACCACCACCACCACCACCACCACCACCACCACCACCACCACCACCACCACCACCACCACCACCACCACCACCACCACCACCACCACCACCACCACCACCACCACCACCACCACCACCACCACCACCACCACCACCACCACCACCACAACCACCACCACCACCACCACCACAACCACCACCACCACAACCACCACCACCACCACCACCACCACCACCACCACCACCACCACCACCACCACCACCACCACCACCACCACCACCACCACCACCACCACCACCACCACCACCACCACCACCACCACCACCACCACCATCACCATGAGCAGGCGAGCAGGGACTTGGCATACTTGGCGTCTACGATGAGTGCGGCAATGCTCGTAGGCGCACTGCTGCTCAAGGTGAACCCCACCTTATCACCATCGCTCCCATTGCTTCAGGATACACCCCCACCCTCTATATTTCCGGAACCTCAAGACTTTGTGAAATTTCTATATATATATACTTCATGTTTCCTGCATCCGTGTTCCTCTTAATCCCCCTTGCAACCAAGCTCCCCTTTTTCAGATTCCATCAGCCATCATTACCCCCCTGTCCTTCGTCCCCCCAGCATTGACCATCCTTAGAAACACCATTGGATGGGATTGCTGTGTGCTCTCTTCCCTAGGCTGTGCTCCTCACTCACTCACCGTCCATTGCATGGCAGGGGGCGCAGCACTGGGGATTCGGCCTTGCTGGCAACTGGTGGATCCTCGTGCTCTTTAATGTGGTAAGTAAGCTGCGACACGTGTTCCTTTGCTTTGTCCCTTTGTTTGTTCCCCTCTTTGTATGCATCCTCACCGTTCCCCAGATTGTTCTTGTGTCAAAGCAGCTCACCTGCTCTCACCTCATCCGTACTCCCCTCTTCTCATCCCCTCCTCCCCCCCCTTTCCCTCACCCTCCCTAGTTCCACCTCATAACTTGTCCGTTTCCCCATCTCCCACATTGTCTGTCTCAGATGCGACTCACAGCGGCTGCCACACGTCTTACATCTCCGAAGGGAATATTTTCTCAAGGAGGGGTATTTCAGACAATGTTAGCAGGTGATTGCAAGTGCCAGCCTTGACCTGAAGTGTTCTGAACCTTGCTTCATATGCTATCATTGTTATGTGTGTATTAGTTCAATATTTCTTCCCAGTCTTGCATGTGTGTTGGTTCTTTATACAGGTAGTGGGCTCTGATTGTAAGCAGTGAACTGTACACGTACTTGGTATTGAACGTATTTTGGATAGGATCAACGTCCTTGTGATTTCAGGTGAAGAAGACACACTGTAAGATACTAAGATTATTGACATGGGTTTGGCCAAGAGTAAAGATGATTTGCAGCATATTTTTTCGCCAAATAGTGTCCTTTAGTCCCATAGTGTAAGAGGTGCAAGCAAAGAGTGGGCGCCCTCCTGTTGGCACAATTGTCATATCCATTTTTATCGATTTTACCATATTGTCCACAATTGACTCCACAAATGGGTCTCTTACAGAAACAGAATCCCCAGTAGCGGACAACCTTGACTAGGGTGTACTCATCATTGATTGGACTATCTCGACGAGGGGCAGCAGTGCTGCCAAAGTTATGCCCGTACCAGAACGCAGAATCATTCAAACGCGTCAGCGTGGTGGTGGCAACATTCAGATGCGTCATTCTGCTCTCCCTCCTTGCATACCATCTACCACAAAGAGTATCTCCAGGTTCATAAATTCGTGGACCTGTGATTGCTAGCCTCCTAGCTGCTGAGGACGATTTTCGAAGTGCCAGTGGGGGTGTCGGGGGTGCCTTTTCTAGGAACCAGACATCCCGCTACCAAAAAAGTGAATATGGATACCCAATCCAGCACGACAAAGTATTCAAAACTTCCTCGACGCTGAATGGCGGTTCAACGTTTTTTATGCCAGCACGAGGAAGGAATTTCGACTGTACAGCTCCCGATTCCCGAATCCCGTCGCGTCGCATCCGCCTCTATCGCATGTGTCTCCGCCATCCCCTGTTTTCAAAATCTCCCCATCCCAGCATTTGAGAAGAAAAACCCAGCACTTCCATGAGCTATTGGCGGTTGCCTTTAGCAACACAACTACTGTTCGCATTTCCTCGCTCCTGTCTAAGAACCAGTTTCCTCGCTGTCTCTCTCTCTCTTCTACTGCCACTGGAGCTCTCCACCGTGACCTGAAATTGAATTAATCTGACCCCTCGCGCTGCGCCTTGCCGCGTCCACCATGACCACCTCGCACATCCTCGTCTGCCTGCCGGACGGCTCCATGCGTCTTTTCGACGAGCCACTCCTCATCGCGCGCGACGTTCTTCGCGAGTATCCGCACCACGACCTCTTCCTATCGCCCACACCACTGGGCGACGACCGCGACGCCGCATTCTGCGACCGCGACCCCGGCTTCGACTGCGAATGCGTCTGCGACGACGACGACGACGCTCGCAGCACCGTCTCTTCCGCCACTACCGACAGCCAGAGCGGGACCATCAGCGCGGGATACAACACCAGTATCAAGAAACCTGGAACAGCGTCCGCGGCGCGGCGCTTCGACCCCGTGAACCCACACCGCTGCTTGACATCCGGCGCCATGTACTACCTCATGCCGCGCCGCGAGTACGCGTGGAAATGCCAGCTCCAAGACGCAGATGCGGCGGAAGCCGCGGCGGCGAGGACGACGAAGAAGACCCTTCGGATGGAAAAGGACGAGAAGGAGCATCAGCGGCACCATGATCACCGTAGTAGCAATGGCTGGCGTCATGATCTCGCGGGGAGGGAGACGTCGCCCGCGCCGTCGAGCACGTCGTCGAACAACTCGTCGAACATCTCGTCGTCGTTTCCGCGCGCGGCGTCCGTGCCACTGATGACACCCGTCATCACGGAACCGTCCGGCCGTCGCACTGATGCAACGACTACTATTATTAGTACTAGCAATACTACCAGTGGTAGCTCTACTAGCGGCAGTAGAAGCAGCAGCTCCAGCGACATTCGAGAATGTGTCTCATCATTCCGTGGAGAGAGGCTGCACGAGCCGAGTCATCCAGCGGTGGCAGCGATTCAGCGCGAAATGCAGTTTCTGGACGATGCGGCTAGACGATCATGGGACGCCGCGTCGGTGGGAATGGCCGGCGTGACGGGAACAGAGCGTCGTCACGGTGACGGCGACGAGTCGCGGCTGATGCTGAAGCTGCTGATGCAGCAGCAGTCCATGCTGGAGCAGCTGCTTGAGGCGCGGCGGTCGGCGGGGGAAGGACAGCGTGACGTTGCGCCATGGGTCCGCCCGCAGACCACCCCCGACAACGAGATCACCTCCGTGGCGGGAGGAGCGGAGGATGGCGGTGAGAAGCACGATATGAATCAGTATGAGTGCTACTATCAGCAGCAGCAGGAGGAAGGGGGGGAGTCAGGGGTGAGTGCGATGGCGGAAGCACGGTCTGCAGTGGGGATGCCGGAACTGGATACGAGTGAGCTGACGAGGCAGTTGGCGCTGCTCCACGTGGCGGACCCCCTCACCCACCTCGAGGGACTCGCTGCCTCTACCCCTACCTCTGCTACAACCTCTGCCTCGGCGTCTGATTCTCCGATTGTTGCTTCCAGTGCTGGTGCTGGTGCTGGTGCTGGTGCTGCAGGTGGTGCGAAACACGGATCTTGGAACTCGCCTCAATCTGGCAATAACAGTCCACATTATCACTCCGGCGAGGTACGAGCGTGAACATTATACCCTGCGGGTGGGACTAAAAGAGGGTGAAGCGTTAAATTCTCTTCTCTGAACGTCCGTTTCCCCTCCCACGCACAGTCTCTGATTTCCTCTTTTCCATTCCCCCTTGTCGTCCCAGCTTCCGTCACGTGTTTAGTCTCCTCATTGTGTTCATGTTTGGTGACACACGTTGCAGGTCAATCTCCAAGGAGTTATGGGCAAAGCATTACGCGATGAATCATCGAGCAGCGAACAGCAGCAACTCCAGACTCAGCAGCACGAGCAGCAGCACCCTCATAGCCCGTACTGCCAGCAGCACTTGCTCTCAGGCCAGGCCATGGGCATCCTACCAACATGGCCTGCCACGTGCACGCACAAGCACCTCTCGCACCACTCCTCCTTCCTCTCCCACCACGCCCACCACCACCACCACCATCAGCAGCAGCAAGAGCAGCAGAAGCATCCAGCTTCTCCCAGCTCCTCAGCCAGCACGATCGGCAAGAAGCTGCTGCGCCTGATGACGCTACCTGGCAGGCACTCCAATCGCCCCATTCTTCCGAGCCATTCACAGCCTGAAATGAGACAGCCCGCGGAGACGGCCCCGTGATGGACGCTCGCTCGCAGGTGTGGAAGCAGCAGCGGCTGCTGCGGCTGCAGCAGCCAGGGCTGCCAGAGGGGCGCCAACGAACGGGCATGAGCATGCGCATGGGCATGAGCGAGGGCATTCGCAGCAACAGGCCTTGGAGATGCGCCCAACCATGTCCTCACCAGCGATTGATGGCATGACGTACATGATCTGAACTCGCACTTCCATCACATCGCATCAAAATAAATTCACACCACATTGCATCGCAGGACAACACGTCACCTCACATCACATCACATACCATAGGTGTTTTGCAGCCACCACCATAGTATTTGTAGCATCTACCATTGCATTTATTCAGTTTATGCAGAATGGTCAAGCCCAAGTCTAAACACTCGTTGAGTGTACAATAAGAGTTTCCTTGTCATGGAGTGGTTAGACAAAGAAACCCTCCTTCAGAAGCCATAAGACCGTCTTATCCCCTCCACGTGTGCACCTTGCCCAACCTTGCACGGGTAGATGAGGAAGATAGTGGATACATGCAACGTAACGTGCAAAATCGTGTTTTGAGTCGACTCGCAACAAGAGAGTGAAGTGCAATATAACGTGCTAAGTCATCTTTCTGTTTTTTCCGATCCCGCCAGGACACAGAGCTGGCGTCGCGACATTCACCATAGGAGCTTGTTCATTTTCTTTATTAACAACTTTACGAACCATTGGAGCTTTGATTCAGTCTAGATATAATCAGCTTTTGTTTCCAGACCAGCCCTGCCTGGCCAAGATCAGGGCCTCAGATGTCAGGAATTTTACCCTGAATTCCTGAAGTTTGACCCTTGTTTTTTATTGCGACCCTGATGGATCAGCCTTTTTTTTTTAGCGACCCTGATGGATCAGTGTTTTATTTTGTAGAACACTGAATTTTCAGTGTTTTGTGTTTGCAGACACTGACGAGTCAGTGTTGTATCGGGGTTGACCCTGAAACCGAAACTCCGTGTTTCTCGCATATTGGCGCGCCGGCCAAGATGCTGGGCAGCATTATCTGTACTGAAGGTGTTTTTTTTTCCATACATTGCACAGTAATGAATGCGCTTTCAAAGAGTAGGTGCTCTCAGGCCTTTGTACCGCATCGATTGGTTGGGGTCGTGTGACCAGGATAGCAGAACTACAGTTGTACCCGTCCCAGAACACAGAATCTTTCATAAGCGTCAGGCTGGGGTGTACCTCAATGTACCAACGATGTTGGTGTTACGTGGAAATTACTGACGCTACCCATTCACTCCGTACTTATCCCCAACCCAATTTCAGTAGCTCTGGGAATTGCTGTAAGTGTCAGTGGGGATCGTCAAGGGAACATCCATAAAACCGGACCTCCCACTTCGAAAGGGTGAATCTGGACTTCCCAAGCCAGCACGGCGAAGCATTCAGAACCTCCTTGACGCTGAATGGGCGGTTCGTCGTAGTTGATGCCAGCTGGGGCAGGAATTTATCTAGCTCCACAAATCCCCTCCCTCCCTCATCGAGTCGCGTCGCAATGCATCTGCTCGTGTGAGATGTGTCTCCATCCTCTGGTTTCAAATGATTCGAGAAAGCGTACTTCTCGCGCGAGACGGTCACAGTGGCATCTGTACAAGAGCAACCCTGGGCGTTTTCACCACGGACGGATGCTGCTCCCCCAACCCCACTTCCTCTTTCTCTTCTAAAACCGTTTTCTAACTCGCTCCCTCGTTCGCATTGCCACCGCAGCCCGCCTCGCCACCGTCACCTGAGATTGTTATATTCTGAACCCCCGCCTCGTTCTTCTGTTCTGACCGCGAGGGTTGACCCCTCGTGCTGGGCCTTGCCTCATGGCTACCTCACACGTCCTCGTGTGCCTGCCGGACGGATCCATCCGTCTCTTCGACGAGCCGCTCCTCATAGCGCGCGACGTGCTTCGCGATTTCCCGCACCACGACCTCTTTCTCTCGCCCACACCACTGGGCGACGATCGCGGCCGCGTCTACGACTGCGAAAGCGTCTGCGACGACGACGACGCTCGTAGCACCGTCTCCTCCGCCGCTGGCGACGGCGGCACCATCACGAAATCCACATCAGCTTCCGAAGCGCGGCGCTTCGACCCCGTGAACCCGCACCGCTGCTTAAAATCCGGATCCATGTACTACCTCATGCCGCGCCGCGAGTTCGCGTGGAAGTGCCAGCTCCAAGAGGCAGAGGCGGCGGAAGCGGCGGCGGCGAGGATGACAACGAAGAAAGCCCATCAGACGGGTCTGGACCAGGACAACATATCGAAGTTCGAGAATAACAAAAACGATCACGGTAATAGTAACGGCTGCCGTCATCTCGCGGCGCGGGAGACATCGCCCGTGTCTCCCGCGCCGTCGCACACATCGTCGAGCAACGTGTTGTCGTCATTGTCCGGCGAAGCGTCCCCACCACCACCAGTGGTCAAGGCGACTCCCGTCAACACGGAATCCCCGGACGGTCACACCCATGCAACAACTATTACCACTACAATCATCAGCAGCGCTGCTACTACCACAACTACCAGTGGTAGCTCAAGTACTAGCAGCAGCGGGTCTAACGACATTCCTGAATGTGCCACGTCTGACGGTGGAGACGGGCTGCACGAGGCTCATCATCATCATCCGGCGGCGGCGTTTCCGCACCAAATGCCGCACTTTCTGGAGAGTTCTTCTGACGCATTTGCGCGACAGGACGCGGTGGGAATGAGTTTCGCGGCGCCTCAAGACGCGGCGCCTTTATACCCGTCTCCGTGCCAAGTGTACTCCGGCGGCTTGACGTTCCCGGGCGACTCGTCGGACGGTGTTGCACGAGCGCCGGACGCGGCGGCGGCGGCGGCGGCGGCGGCGATGACGGGATTTGAGTACGATGAGTCGCAGTTGATGCTCATGCTGTTGCTGCAGCAGCAGTCCATGCTGCACCAGCAGCAGCAGCAGCTGCTCGAGGCGCGTCGGTGGGCGGAGGAAGCCGCCGCGGCGGCGCACGCTGCCGCGCCGTGGGCCCAGCCGCAGACCTTTCCCGAGTTCCAGATCGGCGTCGCGGCGCGCGCCGAGGATGGCGGAGAGAAGCAGGAGTCGCTTCAGCACGAATGCTACTATCAGCAGCAGCCGCAGCCGCCGCCACCGCCGCAGCAGCAGCAGCAGCAGCAGGAGCGGGAGGAGGAGGCAGGAGAGAGTGCGAAGGTGGAAGCGCGGCCTGCAGCGGGGCTGCCCGCACTGGATACGAGTGAGCTGGCGAGACAGCTGTCGTCGCTCCATGTGGCGGACCCACTCGAACACCTCGACGGACTCACCGCCTCTACCCCGACCTCTGCTACCGCCTCGGCTTCTGCGCCTGCTGCTGATGCCACTGCTGCTACTTCTGCTGCTGATGCTGTTACTCCTGCTGGTGCTGCTAAAGTTTCGGCTCGTGGCGGAAGAAGCGCGGCAGGTGGCGCGAAGCACGGATCGTGGGAGTCGCCGCGATGTGGAGCAGGCAACCAGCGTCGTCGCTTCGGCGAGGAGCTAACGCCGCCGCTCAACGCGGGTGGAAATAAGGAGGTGATGCCTTGCTATGTGTTCTCGGAACGCGCCTTTCCTATCTCTCTCCTATGCAACGCTAGCTAATCTCCAAGTTCCCGTTTCCCGTTGTCGTCCCCCGTTGCCATCTGAGACTTTCTTGTCCCCCTCGTTGCTTCCATGTTTCGCGATGCCGATCTGCAATGCAGGCGAATCTACAAGAACTGCTGGGCAACACACTGCGCGATCCATCATCAGAGAGCAAGCAGCTGCAGGTCAAGATACAACAGCACGAGCAACTGCAGCACCACAGCATGTACTACCTGCAGCACTTGCTCTCTGGACAGAACGCCTTGGGAGTATCCCCACGCCCTGCCACATGCACGGACAAGCACCACCACGCCCAAGAGCAGCAGAAGAAGAATCACCTATTCGCGCACAGCTCCTCGTCCAGCGCGATTGGCAAGAAGCTGCTGCGGCTGATGACGTTACCCGGAGTGCGTCCCTCCAATCGCTCTACCCTTCCGGGGCAGTCGCGGGCGGAAATGAGAGATAGCCCGCAGAGGCGGTTCGGTGGTGGGGGCGCGCTGGCTGCTGTGGAAGCAGCAGCGGCGGCTGCAGCTGCAGCAGCCAAGGCTGGAGGGCGGGCGTCGTTGAATGGGCATGGGCGAGGAGGACATGCACATGCGCATGGGAGTGGTATGCGTGGGCATGGGCATGCGCATTCGCAGCCGCGGCTATTGGAGATGACTCCATCCACGACTCCTCCTCCTTCGGATGATGGCATAACGTACATGATCTGAGTTCACACCATATATCACATCGCATTGCATCACACCACATCACATTCCATGGGCTGTCTGCTGTTCCAGCTTCATAATGCTTGCTGCTGAAGATGCCAGGGAGGGAGCACAATCTAGACACACCCCACTCTCGTGTCTCCATTTTTTCTGTGTGGAAACACTGGTGGTGGTCTGCAGCAACATTATTCTGTAGTTGACACACTGTATACGAACGATGCTTATTTCTACTCGCATAGAGAATGGCCTCTGGCCGGCCACTGTGTACCATATATTTATTATTTCTTTTGGTAATGCATTTGCTGCTCACTAACCCGAGATGCCACTCAACAGTGCAATTCTCAGGTGCAAGGCTGGGAGAGTGAGGCGAGGTTGGACACTTAAAATCCAAATATACAAAGCCCAGTGTCTTTCCCCCATGACCCCTAGACAGATTCCGGTGTCTTCCACCTGCTCCATATCTGCTGCTGTGCTGGCAGGCTCGTTGGCTTAGGAATCAACTCATAGCGCAGAATCTATCCCATTTCAGTGGTCAATCTGCCCGTCTCACATGTCAATCTCCCCACCCCACTCACCATCACACAATTCGCAGTGACACACTAAATACTTCCGACCGAGACAATTACAGATCAGATCCTTCTTTTCTTACCGTACCTATTTGAGAACACATTTTTTAGCCACAAGCATTTCTCCACTCCCTGCACCTCAGATTGAGAATCAAGATCAGCTGAGCTGATGCAATAGACAAGCCCTGGCCTGGCTGATGGAACGAATCAGGGTAGGTACCATACCAAAAAGGTACGGTACGTGCTGTGATACAACTGCCCCTGGTAGACGACGTTAAAGACCTTTAAAAAGGGTTTTAACCGTACATGAATTTTGAGTGCGCTGAGTGCATTGTGTTGTGCGTGTCATAGAAGCTTCAAGTGCCCTGTAACCCCGCTCACTAAGTGCTCCGGACCTGTGCACACACGAAGGTGAATGCGGTGGGAGAGGGAGGGCGAGGGAGGGCGAGGGAGGGAGAGGGGGGGAGAGGGGGGGAGAGGGGAGGAGAGGAAGGGAGAGTGTAGGAGAGGGAGGGAGAGGGGGATGAAAGAGGAGAAAGGAGGGAGAAACAGATAAGAAACACAGTGGATGACTGTGCCGACCTTTTCGTGCCTCTCTAGGGCGTGGGTGGGAGGTATGCAAAGCATGTGCGCGGATGGGAGGTATGCAAAGCACGTCAAATGATGCAAGGAAACAACTTTGATAGGTTGTTTGAGACCTGTTATTGGAGCATCCCTCCCTGGCATGCTCGCTCGCAACTACTCACCGATGATGGCCATGACTGTCTTTGAATCTGAAAAGAGGTATGGATTGAAATGCATGAGGGGCAGGCAGAGGGGCAAGGAGAGGAGCATGCGGTAGGGCAGGCGGAGGGGCAGGCAGAGGGGCAAGCAGAGGGGAAGAAATTATCCCAGAAAGAGGCACAGTAACACAGATGGATGTGAGAGTGGAAACAGGCGGCAAAATGTCACAATAGATGAGCGGTGCAGAAGTGGGCATGTGCGCGTGGAAAGAACACAGCAAGTGCTGCGGATGGGCGAAGCATTGAAGGAAGACAGGGCACGGCACAGTCACATGTGGCACAACAGGTCCATGGGCGAGCGAGTGAGTAAGTGCGTGGGTGGGCGATTGTGCGGTGAGTGAGTGAATGAGGCAGAGGGAAGGCCACATACTTGGCTCGATCTGTGTTCTGCCGGCGTCGATAGTGACGTGCGTTGGGAGACCAGACTTCTTCGCCTTGTCCTGCGCAGAGAGAGAGAGAGAGAGAGAGAGAGAGAGAGAGAGAGAGAGAGAGAGAGAGAGAGAGAGAGAGAGAGAGAGGGCATGGAGGCGATGGGATCGGATGGACGCACATGAAAGAAACGGGGCGATGGCCCACACCACACGGGGTGTGAATTCTGGAATGGCACATGAGCTGAGAAGGAATGTGACTCCAATGCAACAAAGAACGGACGGGAGGAAGGAAGGGAAGAAGGAAGGGAGGGAGTGAGGACGGGAGGAAGGAAGCGAGGAAGGAAGGGAGGAAGGAAGGAAGGGCGAAAGGAAGGATCCCAGCAATCAAGTAAGCAAGGGAGTGAGGGAGTGAGGGGGGAGCGCAAGGCAAGGGCACCTGCAGAATGATAAGGAAGGAAGGAAGGAAGAAAGGAAGAGGAAGTAAGGAAGGAAGGAAGGAAGGAAGGAAGGAAGGAAGGAAGGAAGGAAGGAAGGAAGGAAGGAAGGAAGGTAGGAAGGAAGGAAGGAAGGAAGGAAGGAAGGAAGGAAGGAAGGAAGGAAGGAAGGAAGGAAGGAAGGAAGGAAGGAAGGAAGGAAGGAAGGAAGGAAGGAAGGAAGGAAGGAATCCAGCAAGAAAAAAGCATGGGAGTGGGGGAGTGAAGTGGGAAGGCAAGGCAAGGGCACCTACAGAATGATGAGCTCCTCCTCTGAGTCCACCTTCACCACCACCTTCATGTGTATCGACTCAAAGCACGACTCATTACACTCGTGTTTTGGGTCGACTCAAAAAGCGAGGGAGGGGGGCAAGGCAAGCGCACCTGCAGAATGATGAGCTCCTCCTCTGAGTCCACCTTCACCACCACCTTCACCTGCCCGTTCTCGTCCCACCTGCCATGCCGCGCAAGCAGGGCACAGAGGGCATAGAGGGCAAAGAGGGCACACCGGCCCGGCCACACACGGCCGTGTGTGTGTGGACCGCAAAAAAGGAGATGGTGAGGGGAAGATGGTGGGAGGCATTGTGCAAGTGGGAGTGCACATGCATGAATGATATATTGGAGAATGGTGTGCGGGAACGCGCAGGGTGGGATGGGAGAAACGGAGGTGGAGCAGTGGCGAGGCGAGGCATGGAGGATGAGGCCGAGGTATCAGCAGAGTCTCTCTGCAGAGGCATGGAGGTGGCGGGCACACCTTTGCAAGGCTGTGGGCGCTCTCTTGGCGAGTCTCTTGTACAGGCCGAGCGTTGCGTGACTGGTGGAGGGGCGGTCAGGCAGAGTGGAATGGGGACGACGATGGGGAGGATGGGTGGAAGGATAGATAGAAGGATGGATGAGTGTGGAAGTTGAGGGGTGCTCTCACCCGCACTGCGCGCCAATCTTGCCCTTGCCCATCTTCAAGTCGCTCCGCACCACCAGCACCTGCAATGCAATCCCAAGGAGCGCATTGCACACGGCCCCGTGGTGGCACGGGATGGAAGGGAACGGCATAGCGCGTGTTGTGCGGCGTGGTGTGGTATGGTGTGGGATGATGCGGCACGGCATGGTATGGTATGGCTTTCACGGCATGGCATGGTATGGTATGATATGGTATGGCTTTCACAGCATGGCATGGCATGGTATGGTATGTGTAAGGCATGTGAGGCGGTGATGCCATGGTGGTGCGAGGTCACAGCAGCAGCAGCAGCAGCAGCAGCAGCAGCGCGAGGCCATGATGAGCCGCCTGAGGATGTGGATAAACGCACAGTGATACAACGCCATGGACAGGCCACTGAAGGAGACACACGCTCGGCTACTGGACAAGTCAACTTGTCGTTCCACTAGACGGGCCACTGGACGGATTACTGGAGGTACCGGCATAGCTGGCTAAATTAGCTAACAAACGGATGGCAGCCAGCACTCTCCCCATGCACGGCACGCACACGGCACGCGCACGGCACACGCACGGCACATCCACGGCACACGCACGGCACACGCACCATCTTGAAGTCCTCGAACTCCCGCGCCATGCTATCCAGCTCCAAGAGCGCGCCGCCCTTCCCCCCCTTGCCCGAATTCCTCCCGCCAGCGCCCCCCGCGTTCTCCTCGTGCCACGCCTGTAGCTCTAGCAGCGCGCGCCGCCATCGAGAGGAGGATATTAAATGGCCGCAGAAACAGCCCACCGCGAAGAAGCCGACTCCAGCCGCCGCGAGCAGCGGCCAATTAGACGACATGGTTAAAGCTGCGCGCCGATTACTTTTGTGATTTGCCAAAGCTTTTAGTCGTGATGAGGCTGGAATTGCTCAAGCTGCTAAATGGACAGTTCGTGATATAACAAGCTTTGGGGTGAATGAATTCTCAAATCTTCGCGCTGCCTTGATCGTGGCAGTTTGCCGTCCTTACGGCATCCGAATCGTGGGAGGATCGGAGATAGCGACTCGGGTGGCGAGGAGCGGAAAGGGTGTTGCGACTAGTTTGTTTCCAAGAAAGCGTGCGTTTCCTAGCAGTTCTGCATATCACCAAACCCGAAACCCTTGGATCGAACATAAGGATTTGATGAGGTGCTTCATTTGGTACGTAGAGTTACGCGTATATACATTCCATTCTGTTCCACCGAGAACGTAAACCTGATATCGAAGAGCTACTGAAGGAAATCACTGCAGCCAGAAAGTGAGCTCCACGTGGATGAACGCGTGGACGCACACGAACCCCTGGCTCCAGGGATCTCTCATTGGACTGTCAGCTTCGTGTCAGCTCGGACCACCCCTCGCACACATTTTTCGCGATGGGCTATGACAGCTTCATCACCCTCTCATGCACACGTTCGCCGGCCTCAACCCATTTCAGTACAACGAAAACATCGCTCTCATGTTGAGATGTGCGTATTGTCACAGAAACATATTTCGTCTACCAATCATGCTTCAATGATTCCCTTCAGCGGTTCGGGACCTCAACCCGCCCCACATCATGCCGAGCCTGCATCAGCACCACTTCCACTCTCACAACTCAGTCAGTCGTTTTGGTGCTGCTGCTATGGCAGTCAATGCAGCTGCTGCTGGTGCTTGTGCTGCAGCTGCTGCTTGCGTTGCTGCTGCAAACATCCCCACATCCGCTTCCATTAGCCGCCCCGTCGACTCCGGTGCCTGCGCCGTGCCGCCTGCATACGTCGCATTGGACTCTGCTCGCGCTTATTGCATGAAGCAAAATATACAATTTACGGTTCCATCGATCGTCGCTGTGAAGAAGAGACCGTTTCTCAATATTATCGAAATGAGATAAAACCATTTATTTCCCCCCGTCCACAATGCGCAGCCCGGCCGCGGCTGGGCTGTTCCCCCAGCCGTCCCCGAATCTTGCGCAAACAGTCGCAAATGCCAGCTCCGCCGCTTTGCAAAGCGCGGTTCTCGCCGTTAATTCCGCATTGCTCCCACTTCCCGCCACGCAATCATCCATGATTCCGCCAATAATATCCGGCGATGGGGAAGCAGCTGCGCTCGCGGGTCAATTCCACCCAGACAATACGGGCGCGGCTCTGGCTTCCGGTGCAGGGGTAGCCCTCGGCGGGGGAGGGGGAATGGGAGGAAAGGGGGGAATGGGGGGAATGGGGGGAATCGCGGAAATCGGGGGAATCGGGGGAGCGATGCGGGCGGCGGGCGGGGACGACGACATGGCGCGCGCGATGGAGAGCCTAATCCCCGCGCTGTGGCAGTCGTTCGCGGTGATCCTCATCGGATACGCGTGCGTGAAGCTTGAAGTGGTGAAGCCGCAGCACAAGCAGGTACGGCGCCTCCTCTTCTCTGCCCATCGCGCCTCCCCTTACCGCTCCGCCCATCCGCTCCACGCCCTAGTACCCCCCCCACCCTTTTCCCCCTTCCTCGCCCCGGGCGCGCCTCCCCACCCCTCCTCCCGTTTTTCCCTTGATGATGGGCCACTCTGCAACTCCCACGATTCCCACCCCAAGAGCCCTCGGAACCTCCGCCATGGAGTCCGTTCCACGTGGTCTTGGTCCAACCAGATGGGCTGTGTTGTCGATGCTCTGTGAGATGTGAACTGCGTGAAGTCACATGCAGGTTCCTATACTTCCCTTCGCCCATGTCCGACCTCTATGCATAATGCATCCCTCTTTCTCCTGCTCATTCCTGCCCTCCACGCCCGCCCGCCTCCTGCCGCCGCTACCACGGGCAGGGCCTGTCGCTGTTTGTGACGAAGCTGGCGCTGCCGGCGCTGCTGTTCTCGGGCATGGCGTCGCTCGACTTCTCCAAGGTCAACTGGTCCTTCCTCCTCGCCGTCACCATCGGCAAAACCGCCGTCTTCTTCCTCGCCCTCGGTGCGTGCGTGCATGCGTGCATGCGTGCGTGCGTGCTGCCGCGCGCCTGTATTGGTCACCCCTGGCTGTGGTGCAGAAAGAGGATTCATGCTGGCTTGAATCGAGGCTCCCGGGTTTTGGATTGTGAATCTTTTCCAGCCCTTCCGCCGGTGTATGCTGTGCTGTGTGCTGCAATGCTGTGCTGTTCTGAGCCGTGGGGTGCTGTGCTGTGCTGTGCTGTCCCGTGCTCTTCTGCCCTGTGCGGTGCTGTGCTTTCCTGCTGACTGATTGGCCCCCCTCCATCCTCGTCCCCTGCCACCACGCACTGACATTCCTGAAATGCTTACGGCGTGGCGTGGCGTGGCATGGCATGGCATGATGGGGCAGGCATAACGATGCTGCTGGACATTGGCAAGCCGCAGGTGGTGGGCACGGGAGCAGTGAACGGCATCTTCGTCTCCCAGTCCAACGACTTCGCTCTCGGCCTTCCCATCTTCCAAGTAAACCCCAACCCCCCTCCCCTTCGCTTCCCTCCCCTTCTGGCAAACCAGCGCACGCTGCACGCAGCTACAAACCGCAATGTAGGGGTTTTTTAAATCCCTCCTCCTCCCCCGTAGCCCCCGTCATGCTGTCTCTCCCTGCCTGATGTCGCCACGCCACTTTGTGGCACCTTGCAGCCTACAAACTGCAGTATTAGCTCTTCTCTCATCCTCCCTCTAATGTTCCCCTCTTGCCTCCCCGTCTCCCTACCTCTTCTCCTCTTTTTCCCTCCTCCTCTGCTCACCATCCCCCCTCCTGTCCCCACCATCCTCCATCTCCACCTTCCCCATGGTGCAAGCAGCCCATATTCGGCGCCCTGCACCCCGAGTACATCGGATACCTGTACCTCGTGGCGCCCACTCTTGAGAATTCTCAGTGTCTCCCCACCATCCATCCCACCTCTCCACCCATTCCCATGGTGTGAGCAGCCCATATTCGGCGCCCTGCACCCCGAGTACATCGGATACCTGTACCTCGTGGCGCCCATCTCGCTCATCTTCCTCAACCCCCTCGGATTCCTTCTCATGGAGTCGGACCGAAAGGGCGGCCCAGACGGGGAGGAGGGGGAGGAAGAGGAGGACGAGGATGGGGAGGAGAGGGTTGGGGGGCGTGGTGCGCGGGATGGGAGGGAGGGGGAGGGGGATCCCTGGGAGTGCTGTGACTTGGTGCCTGAAGGGGAAGAGGCTGCGCTGATGGCTCTTGAGAAAGAGGAGGAGCAGAGGGATGGGGTGGCGGGGCGAGAGAGGGGTGGAAAAGGGGCTATGCGTGAGAAAGGGAAGGAGGAGGGGAGAGAGAGGAGGGGAAAGGAAGCTGAGCACGAGAAGGGAGAGGATGATGGGGGAGGGGAGAGTGTAGAAGTGGAAGAAAGGCCAAGGTTGCTTCCCATTAGTTCTGGTTCGGATCCTGGTTCGGGTTCGGGCTCAGGTTCTGGTTCGGATCCTGGTTCGGGTTCGGGCTCAGGTTCTGGTTCGGGTTTGGGATTGGGTTCTGGTAGTGCAGGTGAGGCTGCTTCAGCAGAGCGACCTTCCATGGCCAGTCATGCGGGTTCACCATCCCCCGCTGCTCACCAGCTTCCTTTGAAAGACAACTCCACTACAGCCACCACTGCTGCCACTGTGTCTGCGGCCGCTGATGCAACCGCCGTCGCCGCCGCAGTTGCCGCTGCTACTTCTGCTTCTTCTGCAGCTGCTGATGGGGCGAATGGCAATGGTGCAATCCCTAGCAGCAGCAGCATGGGCCGCAAGAGCAATCCGTCTCACCACGTGCGCTCCCTCAGTGGCTCAGGCACCCGCAGCAGCAGCGCCGCTCTCCCTCCCCCTTCGCCCTTCACTGCTGCTTCCCCCCCCAAATCCCTCCGCTCCTCCCTCCTATCCCCCTCCCTCCTCACCCTTCCTCCACCTCCTCAAGCGTCTTCACTCTCCCATCCACCATCCACCACCCTCTCCCTCGCCCCTTCCCCGTCCACATCCCACGCCCCTGTATACGGCTCACTTGCCCTTGCCCCATCGCCACTCTCCCGCGTGCTGCCTTCGCCCCTTGGCCCCCCCTCTCCTGTTGCCGCTGCTGCTGGCGCTGGGGTGAGCGGTGGTGCAGGGATGACTGGTGGTGGCGCTGGCGTGAGCGGTGGTGGGGATGGGGGAGGAGGAGGGGCAGTGGATTTGCCACAAGGGTGGACGAGGAGGGCGTATACAGGGAAGCTTGCGGCTGGCGGCGGGGGTGGGAAGTCGGTGGGGGCGCGGAGTGGGAAGTGGAAGGGGAGGGGTGGGCGGAGCCACATGCGCATGTGGAAAGTGCTATACGGAGTGTTTGCTTCACCCGTGGTCTTCATGGTGCGTGACGTGATCTATGGGGGATGGTAGTTTAGTTGTGAGACGTCTCAAAACGTGGTCTTCATGGTGTGTGTTCTTTGGGGGAGCACTCGTCGTGCTAGGGTGTGTTTTTTAGTCAGACTCTAAAACGGGTGCTGCAGGGGGTGTTTGCATCGCCCGTGGTCTTCATGGTGAGACGGCTCTGGGGGGACGCTCGTGCTTGGGTGTGCATGTGGGTGTGCATGTGGGTGTGCATGTGGGTGTGCATGTGGGTGTGCATGTGGGTGTGCATGTGGGTGTGCATGTGGGTGTGTGTGAGTGTGTGTGAGTGTGTGTGTGGGTGTGTGTGTGGGTGTGTGTGTGGGTGTGTGTGTGGGTGTGCATGTGGGTGTGTGTGTGAGTGTGTGTGTGGGTGTGGGTGAGGGTGTGTGTGTGGTGTGCGTGTAACTGGTCTTGCATCTTTTAAGAGTCTGTTTCACCCTGACTCACTAGTCTCTCCTCTTATTCTTGCTTCCTCTCTGCCCTCCTCGTTGCCTCCCTCCTCTCCTGCCATTCACCCTTTCCCTCAACTCCCTCCTTTCCTCGACTCCCTCCCTCCCTCCTCCTTCGTCTCCCTCCTCTCACTTATCAGACATATCTCAAGCCTCGTTTCACTCTCTGTTTACACAATTCTCCTTGCTTCAATCTTCTTGCCTCTCCCCTCCTTCCACATCCACATCCTTACTCCCTATCCCACCTTCACCCCCTCGGTCCTCAATCCCCCAAGCAGCTGCCTCCCTTTCTGCCTGTCCTAACCTCTCTCTGCTGGTCCCGTGCCTATTTCTCTGTCCCCCACCCGCCCCCCATCGTCCCCCCATATGCCCCACATCTATTAACCCCCATCCGCCCGCAGGTACCTCTGGGTCTGGCCGCTAATTATCTGTTCAATCATGACATCCCCCCGTTGCTCTCAGGCCCGTTCGAGGTATGCCTCTTCACACACATGTGCTCCACACACGTTTGGGTCCGTTCTATGATTCATGCGTTGCCTCGCCACACGTGGTTTGCTGCCCAGCCCATGAACAATCTCATGCATGCATGCACGTCATTACGATCCAGCCCAACCCAACCAACACATAGACAAACGCACGCACGCACGCTCGCACGCACACAACTGTTCACGAGCATGCGTGCACACACAGACACACAAGCACGCGCGCATGCATATACTCGCAGACACACACACACACGCGCGCGCGCACACACACACACACTCACTCACAAGCACCTCAACCGAAGTGCATCCCCACTCCCCTTGCACCCCTCCACCTGCAGTCGTTCGGAGCGGCCTTCTCTCTCCTCTCACTCTTCATCCTCAGCATGTCCATGGCGGACAAGACAGAGCAGGCGTCAGACCAGCCCACCTGCCAGGGCGTTTTTGAGACTTCCAAAATACCGCGCACATTTTTTCCTTCCCATTTCCGATCCCACCTCCACCTGCAGTCATTCGGAGCGGCTTTCTCTCCCCTCTCACTCTTCATCCTCGGTATGTCAATGGCGGACGAGACAGAGAAGGCATCAGACGAGCAGACTCGCCTGGGCCCGCTCCTCCTCTCGCTCGCCCTCGTGGCCGGCAAATGCCTCGTGCTGCCGCTGCTCATCCTGCTGCTCCTCGCCTCCTTCCAGGGTACCAACTATAGGAGGGGAAAAAAATGTTTCTGGATTTTTGTCGGGCTGTTAGAGTCACAGAGCTTTCTTGCGGCATGCGGGTTCAACATTGCAACCCTCAGTTGCTCTGGTTTTTCCATGCTCCCTCGTAATTTCTGTCAGCACAGCTTAATCCTCTCCTCTGCACTTCCCCTGCAAATCGCACCTTCCAACTACTGCCTTCCTCCTTCCTGCCTCGTTCCTCTGCTTCCCCATGGCCTTTCCTCCCCTTTCTCCTCCTCTCCTCATCTCCTCCTCTCCTCATCTCCTCCTCTCCTCCTCTCCTCCTCTCCTCCTCCTCCTATGCTATGCCAACGCCTTGTGCCCCCCTTCTTTACCCCACTGGCAGCGGACGACACATCGCTGTCCCTGGCAGGGCTCATATACGGCAGTCTGCCCGTAACCCCAGCCACATTCTTCTTTGCCTGTGAATACGGTCAGTCACACTCCCGCCTCATCTCAACTCACCTCACCTCACCTCACCTCGCCTCGCCTCGCCTCGCCTCGCCTCGCCTTGCCTCGCCTCACCCTTTTCCCCTCCTTTTTTGCCCCATAGGCTTGTGTTAGTCGTACCCATAGGCTTGTGTTAGTCGTACCCATAGGCTTGTGTTAGTTGTACCCATAGGCTTGGGGTCATACCTAGGCATGCATTGGCGCTGGGCGCGTTTCCCCTGGCCTTCCTTAACCTCTCTCCCCTCCCTGTCCCCTCCCGCCCCTTACTCCTTCACCTCCCCCCCCCCTGTGCCTCTCACAGGACAATTCTGTGTCAGTCGGTCGCACACATCCATAGAGACGGTTTTTGAGGCGCCTACCCCCCCCTCACCGCCCCCCCTCTTCCTCCCTTACCCCTCCACCCCCCTATTGTTCCCCGCAGGGCTGTGCCAGTCGTACATAGGCATGGCGACGGTGCTGGGCACGTTTCTGTTTGGTCCGCTCGTGTACGTGCTCACGCAGCTCGCATTCCTCGTCATGAACCACTATGAGCAGCTCTTAGAACAGGTGACTCACTCACTCACCCTCATCACTCTCATCCCTTTCGTCCCTTTCATCACTCGCACCGCTTTCATCACTCTCACAGCTTTCATCATTTCCGATCATCTCATTGGATTCCTCCAATATTTCCTCCTCAGGAACCCAGCTCCACCAACCAGCATCTCTGCCCTGCACATACCGGCACATAGCTCATAGCCATCACACCATTCATGACTTGATTCATGTTCATCGCCATGATCACATGTACAACGCACTGCTCACCACTCGTCTCCCCGCATGGCACCTCCCCCAGGTGGAGTCATCATCGCGCAGCATGGCGTTAGTAGGCGGCATCTGCGCCCTCTGGACCCTCCTCGCCCTCCTCCGCCTCCTCCTCTCCTGCCGCCCCGCCCCTCCCGCCTTCCCCCATGCCACCACCACCGCCGCCGCACAGACAGCAGCAGAGAGTGGCGCGCTTGCTGCTGCGGCAGGCACGGCGATAGAAGGGAGTGCAACAGAGGGTACTGGAGCTGCTGCAGCAGCAGCAGGCGTGGCGGAGGGAGGGAGGGCAGGGAGCGAGCAGGACCCGTATGAGCTGCACCGTGTGGTGGGGCAGATGCTCGTGTGCTGCATTGCACTGTGCTGGGTGAGTGGGGGTCCGGGGGCTGCATCAGAACACGATGTACTTATTTATGAGCGGATGGGTCCGTCCGGGGACTGGATGGTGGAACCGAGGGTGGAAAGGATCAGAGGGAGACTGGCTGGAAAAGCGTGTGTGGGAACGAGAGGGGGGCGGGAAGAAGTCAGTGTAGCAGGCAAGGGGAGGCCGAGCCATCATCGCGTGTTTTTTGAGAATGCTCAAAAAACAAGGGGAGGCCGAGCCATCATTTTTGAGTCGACTCAAAAATCAACTCGGCAAGGGGAGGCCGAGCCATCATCGCATACTCCAAACACACCTCACACCATGCCCCTTTCTCTTCCCTCACTTCCTCCCTCCCTCTCACTCCCACTCTATCCCCCTCCTCCGCTTATACTCACCCCTTCTTTGAATCTCCCCTCCGCTCCCCACCTCTCCCCACCACTCCACACCACTTCCCATCCCCTTTCCAGACCTCAGCCAGCGTAGCATCTCTCCTCTGCCGCGCACCCCTCCCACCGCTCCCCTCCCTCCTGCGCTACCTCTTTCACACCACGGGCCACCTCGCCTCAGCCGTTTTCACCGCCCTCCTCGCCCTCTCAGAGCTGCTGTGCTCCGCGCTCGGCCCCTCTCTCGTGCACCGCCTGCGCTTCTACCTCGTCTTCTCTGGCTGGATGCTTGCCGCGCTGCCTGTTGTGCTGCCGCTCGTGTTGTCACCGGGCTGGCCTGACATCCCTGCGCTCTGCCCCACGGACCTGTGAGTGTGAGAGACCTGCTTTTGAGAAATCTCAAAAGTGACTCCCATCGGGTTGGCCTGATATCCCTGCGCTCTGCCCCACGGACCTGTAAGAAATGTGGTTTTGTGGGTTATGTGTGTGTGTGTGTGTGTGCGCGCGCGCGCGCGCGTGTGTGTGTGTATGTGTGCACGCGCATGTGCGTGTGTGTGTGTGTGTATGTGTGCACGCGCATGTGCGTGCGTGCGTGCGTGCGTGTCTATGTGTGTGTGTGTTTTGTTTGATGTTATATTTGTTACGTTTTGTACTTTACAGTTCGCAGTGTGGCTGAAGCTTAGGCTCAAGGGGTAGATGAACTCATCGAATTCATTTCTCGAATGGTCCTTGCATTACATATGGGGTGGTACAAAGGAAGATGCAAACACAGAGCAAAAACAAACACACAAACCGGTATCCTATCTACCTCTAGTCCCCCACCTACTCCGCCCCCTTTGTCCGACCCTACTGGTCGAAAGGGGCCTCGATCAACTGGTGCAGCTGTCCCTCACTGAGAGGGATGATGGGGCCCCGAAAGCCGAGCTCGTCCGCTGCCAAGGCCTCATTGGTCTTGGTGCGGAGGGCGTTGGCCTGCGCCCGCTGGAGGCACACGCTCCAGCACTGTCGGTACTCCGTCAGCAGCTTCGCTGCTTCGTAGGAGGTAGGTGCTGCGTTAAAACGCAGCTTCGCCGCCAGCTCCGCGCATTGCCGCAGGTAAGCCATCACCCCTTGCGAGGGGTAGCCGTAAGTTTCTACTACAAGCGCGTGGAACCCCACCCACGCGTTCCGACGAGCGTACTTCTCCTCCTTTTTTGCCGCTGCCGCCCTAGCCGCCCATCTAGGAGCTCGGTTGCAGTTCTCGTCCTGGTAAGATACCGGGTCCGTCACGGTCACGTCGCACATCCAAACCTCTCCAGTCAGGGGATGACGGATGGTGACATCCGCCTTAAGATTTTCAACCAGAGAGTAGACATACGTCTCCTTGTGAACCGTAAACCCCGCCTCAGCCCCTATGTTCGCAATCTCATCCCGCAGAGCGTGATGGGTTGCGGTCCTTCCTTCCCCCTTCTCGCAGCGCATGAGGTGGTTGGGGAGGCGATCGTCGGGGAAGGTGGTGCGGTAGCGGCAGTCACAGCGTCTAGGCACGGGGAGGGGGAGGCCTAGCCGGAAGGCAGCTGCAGTTGAGAGCTGGGATGGGCCCATCCGGAGCGAGGGGATGAGCGGGATCGCCAGCAGCCAGTCCCCCGCGCCTGGGCTTAGCACCGACTGCATCCTTTGCGTGTGGCCAGAAAGGGGGTTGGGGCGCATCCGCCTTGCCTCGCGCATGACTCTCAAGAAGCGGCGGGAGTGAACCGCCAGCGCTAGGCTCTGCTGCAGCTTCAGTCCCTTGGGGTCCGCCTTCCCGGCCTGGAGCACCTCCAGAGCCTCAAGGGGGAGAGCTGCCTCGGCCGCAGCGAGGCGTGCAGGCAGCGCGTGCGGAGAGCCGTGGGTCGGGTCCAGTAGGGAGAGGAGCGCGGCGACAGCAGGGTGCAACGAGTCCTCCAGGGAGTGCAGGAGGTGGGCGGAGCTGATCACTGAAGCGAGGTAGGCGTAGCTGCCTCCGACGGCAGGGTCAGTGATGCCCAGACCTCCCAGAGTCACTGGCAGGGCCGCCTGCCGCCAAATCCTCCGTCTCTCCCTGGCACTCCTCGGGCTCATGATGTGGGCCGAATCCAGGAAGGTGTGTAGAAGCTGTTCCTCCCAAGCAGACCATTCCGCTTCAGGAAGGGCCTCCAGGGGGTGGTTCTGGCCAGAATGGATGCTCGGCGGCTGACACAGCGGGTGAGGAGGGGGAGACTAAGCTGGGGATCCATCTGGGCCAGCAAGGGGAGTGGGGCTGCCGTTGCTGCCAATCTCTCTCTCACAGCGCCTGCGCAGCCCCGGGGTGTGCCTACGGGGCTGCCGAGAATCTGCAAACCCTCTTCAGAGATAGTAATGCCTGGGGGAACTGAAGAGGGGTCGATTGCTGCGGCGGACCATGCCGCGCACTTGGCCGGGTTGTGTACCAGGCCGAGGGCGGCTAGTGCAGATGTGAGGTGGTCAAAAGCCGCAGTGCAGGCCGAGGCGTCGCCGAGCAGCGTGATGTCATCGGCGTACGCCAGCAGGACCACCTGAAGGTGTGCAGCCGCCGTGTCAACGAGGCACGGGTGGATGCTTGCCGCAAACAGGAGGGGGCCGAGCGGGTCCCCTTGGCGAACTCCTCTGGCGCTCTGCAGCGGGGCTGCGCCGAAGTCGTGGTCGAGGTAGAGCGAGGAGGGAGCCCCATAGGAAAGGCGGACGAGGGGGATCAGATCCTTCAGCGCCTCGTTTTTCAGCCCCTCGAACACTGCTCTCCTTTCGACCGTGTTGAACGCGTTCGCGAGGTCAATCTGCAGCGCCACTGCCCCCGGGTGCACTTCCAGGTACGTGCGAGCGGTGTGGATAGCCGCTTCGATCCCCCCTGCTACTGCTACTCCGAACTGAAGGCGAGCAAAGTGAGTACGAGCGGCCGGCGCGGTCAGAAAAAGAGCGGCTTTTGCAATAATCCGGAGGAGACACTCTCCCACCGCGATCGGCCTCGTCCCTCCTTGAGGTTTCGTAAAGGCTAACAGGCGGGAGGCCTTTAGGAGTTCCCCTGCGACTGTGGGGAGATTTCTTGCTAGAGCCGTGTTAGAGAGGGCGAGGAGGTGGGTGAGTACTTCGGCATTCCCTAGGGCTGCGTCGCGGATGTGCTCGAAGGTGGTTCCTGAAGGGCCGGCCCCGACTCCGTTGGGGAGCTTGGCGAGTAGACGCCTGAAGTCGCGGGCTTCGATAGTGGGTGTGTCTTCCGCCGTGGCAGTGTGGAGCCAATCAGGGAGTAGTTGGCAGGCAGATGGGTGTCTTGCCATGAGGGCTTCCAACACTTCAGGTGAGGCGGGTGACACAGGAGTGGCCTGGAGGGATTGAAGTGATTTTGACAGGTTACCCCGTTTTGCCAGTCCTTCCGCCCTTGCCAGTATTCCAGTTGTGTCAGGTGCGTGGCGAGGTTGCGGTGGCAGGGAAATCGCCTGGACAGCTTCTTCGTATAGGTCTGCCCAGAACCCTTGGCGAAATCGCAGGAGCCGGTTCATCATCGCGCTCCAGTCAGGTTTACGGGCTGACGAGGTGCGAAGGAGTATGCGCGGGAGGAAGGTCAGTAACTTCCACCCAGGTGGAGACTCGGGATTGGCCGCCAGGTGGAGTAACGGTGTCAGCATGCAGATCGCGAAGGAGTCGCGAAGGTCTTTGGGGGGGTGGCGGGCGAGAGGGGGTTGGCGACTGTCGCGCAACGGGTCAAGGTCCCAGTCTGCAACCTGAGCGAACAGGTTAGTATTTTTCGCCAGGTCGTCAGGTTTGAGCATCGAGGGGGTTGGATTAGGGGCTGCTGAATTTTCATTGGCTGCTGCAGAGTCAATTCCGTCTTCTGTCGCGGCTCGATTTCCCCCCGCGGTTCGATTTCGATTTGTGGTTCGGTTTGCAGGGTCGCCTCGGGCCTGCTGGTTTGGAACTCCGCTCCCCGAAGCAGCAGCTCCAACTCTTCCTCGTCCTCCTCGGCCTCTGCTTCCAACATCCCCTCTCTTTCTGGGTTAAAAACAGGGTCACCCCCTTCGCTTTCTTCGTTCTCGACTTCGTCCTCTGCTTCCTCGCTGGGCACCTCCTCGCCGCCTTCCGCGCCTTCACGCATTAGCCTTTCTGCAGTTCTCGCGTAACCGCTTGCGCCGGTGCGGCGCCGATTTGTGCCGCGCACTCCTCCACCTCGTCGTCCTCTCCCGTTCCCACGTCGTCCGCGGCGGCTGCTGCCGCGTCCCACGCGGATTCCCCGCGTTCCTCTTCCTCCCGCAGCTCCCGCGCGCCCTGTCTGGGGCGCCCTGTCCGCCTCGTCCTCAATTGGTCGGCGTGCTGGCGTCGGCTGCGGTGCTGTCGGGGGTGATGGACCCATCCGCGAGACGGGATCCGGAGCTCGAGGGTTCCGCGGAGAGCGCGCTGCCGGAGCCCGCGCCTGCCGGGCTTCGACCGCGTGTCCTTGCGCACCCCTCCGCAAGCGAGCCCATCCGCCGCTTCGAGCGGGTGCTAACTCTTCCCCATCGGCCTGCCGCGCGCCCCACCTCGCCGGAGTATTCGTGGGCCCCCTGCACGTGTTGCGTCAAACCGCCCAGACGGTCAGCCGCGGCAGGAGCGTGGGCGCTCGCCTCCGTGTCAGCCTCCTCGGCAGCCCTCTCCTCGCCGCCCATCTCCTGAGCGTCGTGAACCTCATCAGCGCAGGGAGGGTGATCAGCGGTCCCCTGCGCGTCCTCGTTCTCCTCGCCGCCCATCTCCTCGTGGTCGGGCAGGCCAGCGCTCACCCCGAGCGCAATCCCCCGCGCAACGCTCTCCGCGGCGATCTCCGGCGACGCGGGGGAAGGGGTCGCCTGGACGTCGCTGGGATTCGGGCCGACGCGAGCAGTCCCCTCCGCGTCCGCACTCGGCTGGTTCCGAAGGTCGGCGGGGCCGGCGGAATGGCGGTGGGCATGGCGGTAATGGTAGCGGGCAGGATCCTGCCCTCGATCGGGCCGCGAATGCGTGGTGCGGCAGGCGCGGGCGAGTGGGGAGCCTACTCACGTACACATTGAGGTGACCAACGGGCCTTCCTTCGCCGCGGACCCAGGCCAGGTGGCTCCTCTGCGCGCGCCGACGCTGCGCGAGTATCTGCCCGCGCGTGAGGGGAGGGCTCAGTTTCGCACCCCTCGTCAGGTCCCGGGCTTCTCCGCGCAGCGCATCTCTGTTGGCCGGACTCCTGGCTGGTCGACGGCGTTTCCGCGCGAAGCTCCGACTGCACCTCCCCCCACTCACGCGGGGAGAGACCCCATGCTGACCATGTGCCGGATTCTGAATCTGGCGGAGGCGTGCGTGGTGGTGGCGAACTTGCAGCTGGCGGTGTGTGGGGCCACGCGGAACTTTCCGAGCAGTTACGGTCC